GCAGAGGAACCCATAACTTAGTAGTATCCCGACTTAACAACCCCTCGAGAATTGAGATGGTACTGTGAATGAGTTGGCGGCAGAGGAACCCATAACTTAGTAGTATCCCGACTTAACAACCCCTCGAGAATTGAGATGGTACTGTGAATGAGGTGGCGGCAGAGGAACCCATAACTTAGTAGTATCCCGACTTAACAACCCCTCGAGAATTGAGATGGTACTGTGAATGAGGTGGCGGCAGAGGAACCCATAACTTAGTAGTATCCCGACTTAACAACCCCTCGAGAATTGAGATGGTACTGTGAATGAGTTGGCAAAGTTATGGGTTCCTCTGCCAGTAGTATCCTGACTTAACAACCCCTCGAGATTGAAGAATGATCCTGACTAAGGAAACCAGGGAATCCAGTGAATCAAGATATATGATCCCTTGATCACATAAAGACCATTAAAAGGATCTCTTATGCTCTTGTCCCAAAGACATGAGGGATTCAAGAAATGCCCACATTCTCAGAAGTGTTAGAATCATCTGTGAGAGGTGAGAAAGACCTCCTGTTCAATAACATGGAGCAGAATGGGAGTCAGCTGAGCCTGACTAAGAGACATGATGAAAAAAATATACCCAGACTGATGGCGTATTGAATTGGTGCAAGAATGGATGTCTCACTCTGAGAATGAAGCCTGCCTTGGTTGTTTCTGAAAGTAGAATCAGGGTGTGATGATCTGACAATTGAAGAGATGGTGCCAGCAGTAACCAGTCATCTATGGAATGTTGTGTGTACAGTGCTATGGACTGGAGGTGAAAAGGGCAGGAGATTGGTGTCTAGTCATCAATCTGTCTCATCTATATCATTGCCTTGGTTCTCCAAGATTCACAAGTTACTCATTCCTCAATCTAAGTTGACATTTTTTACTGAGATTGTGGATGACCAAGTTTGTTGTAGTTAGCTCCTACCTGCACATTGTCATAGTGGTGGCATTCCACCACTATCGGTGTTTTTTTATGCACAAGGGTCACATACTGTAGTTCAGGGTTTTTACATGGGTTCCGCCGAATCGTACAAGTTTTTTGCAGATTATTTTTTCTTATACTGTATTTTGAAAATTATCTGACATATACAGTTGCTTTAATAATAGTTAATTAACGTATCTTGCAATTCCTGGACTGATTGTGGCTTAGAATGTCTTGTAACATTTGTGGATTTACTTTGACAATGATTGTGAAATATGACAATTACTTCTTTTAGGCTTGGATGATAAACTTCCACAACGCTCTGTAGGTGAACAGTATCCAGGTTATGATAAATTTCGTAAAACTGGTAAGAACTTTCATTTACTTTTAAAAAGTTGTGGTATTTAGTCTTTATCTGAAATTGTATGTTTTGCACATAAGTTTTTTTTTAATAAAAAATTTGTAAATTGTTTACAATATTATCATTGAAAACATTCTTAATTTATTAGGTGCTCCTGTGCCTCTACCAGATAAACCTCGCATTCTTCGTATGACAGATCACAACCTCACCTTAGCTTGGAAGCCATCACTACCTGCTTCACCTAGAGTGCCTGTGACCTATGGCATTGAAATGAGTAAATATCCAGATGGAGAATGGAAACCTTATAAGTCAGGTAAATATAAGTTTTAAATATAATTTATAATGATGTACAAATCTAAGTCAGATAAAATATTAAAATTTGCAATCAGTTGTGATGATTAAGATGAATGTATTAAAATAATCTTGTATAATAATGAAAATTCTAAAACATACTTATCTCCCTCACACAACAGCTTTTACTTGACTGCCAGGATTTGTACATTTGTCCATCTATGCATTGATCTGATTTTTTCTCGCATGCTCCAGTCTTTTTACCTAACTTAATTGCCCTTGGCGATATTTGTCTCGCGACACTTTCCACCTCCATCAGTGTGCCCTCTATTCTGGTACTGTATATAAGCACCTCATTCAGATAATGTTATCACTTTTTCTCTACAAAGTGTCACTAACGGGTTTCCCAGTGCTATGATTGTTCAGAGATACTTAGAGCATTCTCCATATTACCTACATGATTTTTGTATATAAAAAAAAAATTCCAATTCGCAAGCTGATTTATGGTATGAATTCCTGGAATATTATTTCCAGCATGGTGGCAAATTAGCTCTCTCCTATCCCACCTCTGATATCTAGCATCACTCAACAATCATTGTTAGTGATGTTATTTGTAGTGAGATGGGGATATATTCGGTATCAATGTTCCTCCAGGGGTTCTGAGGCTGCAAATTGAAGGTGATCCTCAACTTTCTGGAGGGAATTTAGATTAGTTTTTTCCTGTGCCTTCCTGTAGTCTGTTGGCTTTTCAGTCCCCCCTGTGGTACAGTGGTGAGTTTATGGACTTGCAATGCTGGAATCCAGGGTTTGATTCCCTGTGGTGGGTACAGCAGATGGCCCAACATTGTTTTGCTCTGACAAAACAAACTTACCTGATTAAATGAAATAAAAAAAAGAAGGCCTCTTTGGGATAAGCTACCTTTGATTTATATTCTTCAATATAATGAGAGTGTGATGTTTTGGATCTTTCCCGGTTGCTTTTGAGCCTGCATCTTACTTTATGGCTGAAAGTTCTAGGAGTGAATATTTAGTTTTCTTTCCATCTATGGACATTCTGGTTAATGCAGGGAGGTTTACTTTACAGTTATGTGAAGGGACAGTTGTGCCTTATCCAACACTGTTGCTGGAACTTCATGACTTAGCCTACCATTGCCAGTTCAAAGCATATACGGACTCTCAAATAATATATCTGCTCCTTGAATTTTGGAGTTCTAAGGTGGAATTAGTAGTTAACCTGAATAGATCAATGTCACTTGGTGGGACAGGGTAAGTCTATGGAATTACAACTCTAAAATCAAACATTTTATTTCCTTATACTACACTTTGTTGAAAGACTCTCAGGATCACCAACTTCATTGATGACGAGCTGAAACCATTGTTAACATACACATTGGTTCAATTTTCAGCTTCTACATTCATCTCTGTTGGCATTGGCATCTCAAATATCATCGGCTTCTACGAGGGATCATAGTTCTACACCTATTTGACATCAGCCCTTCAGTACATTGGTAACCAGAATAGAGTCTGTCATTATCCAAGTGTTCTGCTGCTCGTTTGGATCAATGCAAGCAGCATTGGTGATTATTGTTGCCGTAGGGGTCTGTGGGGGGTTCAGCTCTGAGAATTTATGGATGTGTGGTAACTTTAACTATGGATCGAGGAGCACTACAGGTCGTTGAGTCAGGAATACTCATTCAGTTCACATCTTCACCATTATTATTCACCCAACCTGTAGGGTTTCTGTCTCCCGCAAATCTTTTGGATTTGGAACTTAATTCTAGGTCTATCAAGTTTGGTTGTTCTTGGGGTAGGGAAAAAGACGTGCTAGTTATTTTGGGGTTTTATCCCCATCAGTTGTTGAGCCTAAGAAGTTTATACAAATTCATTAGTACAGATCAACATATGAATCAACTGTTGTTCATTAAAACAAAATATGTTATTTAACCTTAATTATTTATCAGTAAATTAGACATTTAATTTGATGGTCTTTTACATGAGGTACACTTATATGTGTTTTTTTTTAAGACTGTAAATTGATATTAACCAGGCTCATCTCATTTTCTTGAAGCTAGTGTAGTGTTTATTTATTTTATTAATTTAATTTTAACTTAAAGTTTAAGTAACATATGAGCGTTAGCAATCACTCAAGTCGGATATGACTGGTTTCAATAATTCGGATATGACTGGTTTCAATAACTTGGATATGACTGGTTTCAATATTTTTTTTATATTGTAACTTTTCCTCAAGAGAGGGAGAGAGAATAATTTGATTAAAATGAAAGAATATGTAACCCATTGTACACATTCCTATCATACAAATATAAACTAATATAATGAAAAGCTGATAATACATATGCAACAAACTTTCACATTAGCATAAGTCCGTGTATCATCATATGGGATTTCCTTTTTATATAGATGAATGCCTAGTTTCTATTACTATGTTTATTGTACTAATGAATTTGTATAAACACACATTCCTATCATACAAATATAAACTAATATAATGAAAAGCTGATAATACATTCACCATACACAGACTTATGCTAATGTGAATGTTGGTTGCATAGATTTCCTTTTTAAATAGATGAATGCCTAGTTTCTATTACTATGTTTATTGTACTAATGAATTTGTATAAACACACATTCCTATCATACAAATATAAACTAATATAATGAAAAGCTGATAATACACCATATGATGATACACTATATGATGTATAACTATGCAACAAACTTTCACGATTTCCTTTTTATATAGATGAATGTTTTGCACTTTTGTTCATTCTACCTTATTGCAAATTCATTTTCTCTAGCCATCACATTTCTACTTTAGGCTACTTTCAACAGCAAATAAATATATATATATATAAATTGCTGAAGCTAAGACATTCCTTTTTAGACATTTCCTCCAACTGACTTAATTTCACCTGTTCATTGACCTGACATTCATTTGTTATCCCTTTACCTCACTTAGTAGAGCATATGCCTGAATGTTACAGGCCTTCTGCCTATTTCTTCTCCAGTTCAGGTCCCTAGTCATTTTGTTCCTTTGCCTTCTGTTGAGTGTGCGTCACATATGGACGAATTTGGACAGCTCTTCCATGTCCAGACATTTTTTCCTGTTCCTAATCAGGTAGATGATATTCTGTTGTTTTTTTTTACCCATGTATCATTATGTCTCTTTGTTTTACTTCATTTGCTATGTCCTCAGTTCATGACCTCCTCCTTTTTTTATCTCCAATCTATGATGTCTTTTCTTTCTACATGGAGTACTCATCTTTCTTCTACTTTGTCTCTCTTTATAGCTATCTATTTGTTTTTGTCTATCTTTACCCCATTGGATGTACATTAGATTGATACCTATTGCAGCTAAAGCCTTTAATATTGCACTGTGTTCTACAGCGTCAAATCCTTTTTCGTAATAAATGCATAATGAAATTCTATAGGATCAAGATATCCCCATTACTTTGGAGAAAAAAATCATGGATCAGTGTGTACTACCAACCTTAACATATGGTTGCCAAACATGAGCACTAATAAAAGAGATAATGAAAAAGATAGAAACCACACAAAGAACTATGGAAAGAAAAAAATACTTCATATAACACTACAAGACAGATGGAGAAATGACGGAATAAGAAAAACAACAAATATAATAGATGCAGTAAGGTTCATTCTAAGAATGAAATGGAAATGGGATGGGCATGTAGCAAGGTATTCCAATAATAGGTTGACGTTAAAAACAATGGAATGGCAACCTAGGACAGGAAAAAGATCTAAGGCAAAGCAAAAGAGAAGATGGACATAATAGTTGTGGAAGCAGGAATCAGATGGACACAGTATGCTAAGAATAGGAAATACTGGACTGGTCTGACAGAGAGCTACATCCAACAAGGGATGATTGCAGCTAAGATAGATCTTTACCCTACTCCTTCATTCCATCTCTAGACTTTACCTCTTTATTGTGACTCCAATAGTTTGGGTGGAGACACCTATTCTTTGTTTGCCACTTTTCTTCCCCTCTTCTATCTATTTTGACCTGGTTTCTTTGTTTTTGGGATCTCGTCAGTCAGATGTCCACATCCTTTCCTCATATTTTTGGGACTCTCATCTCATCCATTTGCTAACAGACCTGCTCTTTGGAGGTATTATGACTCCGTGGAATCTTGGGGCTTAAGCTGCTCACCAGCAATCTTCCGTTGTTTTCTTGATTTTTGACTCACTGGTTTAAAGATATTTCTGTCTGCTATCCATCCTCATGAGTCATGTCAAACTACCCTTCTCCTGTTCCTCATATTTCTCGTTTCTGTTCATTGTCTCCCCTCCCATATTGCTAGCTGTCATGGCTCTCAGAAGCGACTCTACTAGTAGATTGCTTTTCTCGCCTTGACAGGATCATCCCACAGAGTGGTCCTTACATCCTTTGGTCTTCCATTGGATTTGTTCCCATTTCAAAACTTCTCAGATTGATGCTTTTATGACTCCCATTTTACATGAGGGATTTGTCTGGTCCCTTGCATAATGTATGGGACTGTTTCACTGAGTAGCCATTTTTCTCTCACTCTTTTCTGCCTTCTACTCTCACCCTCTATCAATAGACATGGGCTATCTACCATTACTTGTCCTTCTGCCACTCATCAGTTAATCTGTCCTACTCCTCAAAATCTTACTTCTTTCTGTACTTGGCTATTCATCAAAGGTCTGTCTGTTTTGACCAATGCAGATTACCGTTAAGTGTTTTCGACAGCCTTCTGTACCTTGCCACCCATCTGGTTTCTCTCCACTGCTGGAATCTTTGTAGGGTTCTACAGTCTCCTATATACCCCACTTTAAACCATTAGTCTCTTGTTCCTTGAATCATTTGTCTCTGAAGACATATTTTCTCCTTCTCCTTGTTTGTTGTTCTCATCATTCAGAAATTTACACCTTAGATGCCTCCTGTCATAGGGATAGGCTAACATTGTTCCACTCTTCCAAAGACTTAAACTACCTGGGAGTGTGATTGGATGTTATCTCCCA